CCCCAAAACCCCAAAACCCCAAAACCCCAATTTACCAAAATTTCTTAGATTTGAATAAGTGATAACATTTAAATATAATTTGAAAATAAATTAAATATGATTGGAGGAAGTCCTTCGAAGAGAAGTTAATTTATGGGTGGGAATGGAGTAAGTCCCAATAAGGCAATGAGGTCACCAGTTGGAGCAGGCAATAGGGCTCCTCCAAATTGGAATGAAATAATAAAAAAGGAATAAGAGAAATTGATTAAGCAAAAATAATACTTGCTAAGGCAGCACTAAGGTGATCCTTAGAGTCCATCTAAAAATATTTAAATACATGAAGAAGATGACTAGAATGACTAAAATGATTACAAGCACCCGTATGTTGATGTTTGTATTGATAAAGTAATAAATTACTCATAATTCATCTCTCTATTACTAGGATATTTTCAATCGTCAGTATCTTATTAAGACCTCAATGATCCCTCAGCAGTCTCTAAAAGATTTCACTCACAAAGAGAAAAATTTGATAACTGATTTACCAGATTCGCAAAATCAAATTCTTTACAATGGCATAGAGTGTTCACTTAAGAAGATATTTGGTTAATACTAGCACCCAATAAATAAATCAATACACTTCATCTCTAATCGTAAGATTTTCAAGCTTTTTTTATAATTAAAATAGAGACTATTTTATTTTTTACTGGATATTATCTTGCTATGCACAATGTAGTTAGGGATGAGACAAAATATATCGGTATTGATTCTAATCTTAGTTAAATCACTGCTTTTGAAGTTCATCCGATAGATCTAAGTAGTAAAGCAGAGAAGCTATCACTATCACCCACAAGACAATAATTGGCTTAGCAATTGAGCTATTAAGAGAGCACCATTACTACGAATGCAAGTCCCCAATAGAGAAGCTCATTAGCAATGCATAGTAATGACACCAAGGAAGCTAGAAATACCCCTGCTACTTAACAGTAGTAGAATCCAAATAACATTTAATAAAATCAAGCAAATTAGCATTAAAAAGATATGATGACTATCATAGCATTTGCAGAGAAGGCAAAGGAGACTCATCTAAAGGAGTAAAAATTTCAGTCGAAGAAAGTTTATGGAATTTAAAATTCAAAAGTAAGGAAACAACAAAATACACTAGCTAAGTCTTAATCTCCAGTAAATATGAGAAATACTACAACTATTAATTTCTTCCCTAACTCTCCTGGAAAGTAATCAAGTGTGTTCAAGGGTGATTCGGAATTTTTCTTTAATCTTGAAGAAATTCAAAATGTTAAATACCTAGTCAAAGTCTCTGTATTTACCTTGGCGAACCCAAATAAGAAGTACATATTGCAGCACTTTTTCGATGAATACTTTTATGTCTAATAGATTTCAATCCGAGACAGAGAATCATTATGCTATACTTTATGTACTAACTCGAATGGAGAGCAATTATTCTTTATTTGGAATTTTAGAAAAGAAATTATCATAGGTTTCGTTGAGATGAAGAATAGAATCAATAAGTTTATAGTAACACCCAACAAGGCTGAGCATATCTTATTCTTGGGAGAGCACTATTTGAAATACTATGAGGCGAACTTCACGAATAAGATCATCAAAGAAAACAGTTTAAATATTGTTCCTATGAAGATTGAAAAAGAGTCTAACTTCGTGGACATTGAGTACACTACTATTAAGAATAACCAAGGTCAAAATTCAGAGATATTTGTTCTGATTACAGATAATACCAATTCAATATTTGTATTTGAAAAGAACGTGCTGAAGCATAAACTAATAGATCAATTCAAGCCCTAATAAAAGCATGATATAATAAGATCAGATGATAATGAAATGAATAAGACTCATGAATCTATAATGTCAGATTCTTTGGAAATTGGAGAGACCAGTGATAGAGAGGATATAGCTAGAGGAGAAGATCATCTTAGAGTAAAAAGTTATGGAACCAATCTTAGGAAAAATATCTAAGGAATGTAGTTGACCAAAAAGAAAAAAGAAAATGATGGTTTGAACATGAACAATCTTTAAAAATCTCTGCAAATAGGAGGGGCTACATACAAGATAAAAGGAGAAAAAAAGGATAAGAATGAGGCTATGAAAGACTAGAATAAAGATGAGAATAACTATGTACCAGATGAGGACTAGCAAGATATAATATTCTAAAAGATTGTGGTAACTTAGAAAGGGTTTATCATTGGCACCACTTGTGGCTATATTATTTGCTATGAATTCAAGAATGATTATGAGCCGAAATTCATCAATAAAATTCACATAAGCAATAAAGCCAAAGCTATAGCAAGTATTTCATTGAGTAAAGGAAATGTCTAAAATGATGACTACATGCTAGCAATAACAGGAGTCTATTAAAAGGAGGTAAAGCGGGCATTCAAAAAGTCAGGGGATAACGGAGAAAGTCAAAATTTGAGAACTTTTTCAAGAAGAAGTACTATATTTGGAAAGAAAGACTCGCCAATGAAAGGTGGATTTAATTTTTTCATGCCAAAATTTATAAAATCTCCTTAAAAATAGAGAAAGCTTACTTAAGATCGAAATAACTTTGATAGTAGGAAAAAGACCTTCAGTCAAACTCTTCAGAGTTCAGCTTCTAAAATAAAGCAAGAAGACAACAACGTATCAACTCTTTTTGGTCCAGGAGAATTTGAAGAAAAATAAGAATTCTTTATTGTAAATATGAAGGCAATATAGACACAGCAACAAAATAAAATAGTGGAAAAGGTATTTTCAAAGGGAGCTCATGATGCTTCTATTTTCTAAATAGCTTAGTGCAAGAACAAAAGTTCGTTTTACACTATATCTGAGAGTAATAATCTTAAAGTTTGGAATCACACCAATGAATGGAGAGGCTCATCAAATTTCACACTAGATGAATAACCATTATGTATAGATGTTCATCCATCATCTTGGCAAATAGCATTGGGTTTCAAGTCTGGAATTAAAATCTATCAATCTCTGGGTAAAGAATTGAAACTTTCATTTGAAAAGTTAGGGAAAGCAGCCTTATCAGTTGCATATTCAGATGGAGGGCAGTTGCTAGTTTGTACGAATGCAGTCTACATTGATGTTATTGATCCTATCAGACTTTAGTTAGTCGTAACTTTGTTTGGACATAAAGGACTAGTTAGAACTTTAAATTGGACTCTAAATAGTAAATACTTGATTTCAACTTGCTCAAACGGAAGCTTATTCTTTTGGAGAGGAAATTTCAAAGAGTAGTCTTAAAAGATCAAAAGTTTGGCTTTTAATCCAGATGATGTCTATGGAAATAATAATTAGAGCTAGACTATTCAACCTATTGGAATTTTTAATGATAAAAGCTATCTTTACACTTCACTTGCCTATGATGACGAGTTAGACACTGTTATTGCACTTAGTTCAATATCAACTCTCAGATTATTGATAAACTTTGGATAGGAACCCATACATGAAGAGGATCTATTATCATTAACTAGCATTCACTAAGAAGGAGGTTATGGTATAGGTTAAAGTAGCAAAGCATCTTCAATGGCTTTCAGCAAATAGCTTAACATCATAGTTATAGCTTTTTCAAGTGGAAAATTAAGCATTGTATCTTGGCCTATTATCAAGAATCTAAGAGTATTTAAATATGATATCATGCTTCAATGCAATCCAATCACTGATGTAAGAATCTAACACTCATCTCGATATATAATGGCCTCAACTGATGACGGAAATTTATATGTACTTGAGACTTATAAATCAATTGAAGGCCTTGAAAGATCTTGGGCTCATGAGAACTAAGAAAAACTTACACTCTAAAAGAAAAGAGAGACCTACGGATTGAGTGGATTTTCAATTACAGACAACATTATTATGTGTAATAAAGAAGTATTAACCAATGTTAACAAAAAAATTGATAAGTTGAAGATGCTAAAGAAATCTTAAGAGGTAAATCATGAGATTAAGAAGCGCAAAACAGAGAAAAAATATGACAAATAAATGAAAATGATAGGTAAAGAGCTGTAAGAAGAACTTGAGAAACAGCAGAGAATGATGACTCAAGCTGATTAATAGTTTGTATCAGAAAAGGAAAAATTGAAATCGATTTTAGAAGATTAAACATATGAGCATTTAGACGAGAAGAATACCTTGATTGAAGGAAAAGAAAAGAATCTAAATTTTGTAAGCAATGAAAACGATGAACTTGAGACAAGGATTCTAAGACTTAAGGAAACTATTGTTGATGAACTTGAAAAGATTGAGGATGAGCACTAGAATGCAGTTAATGAATTAATTGAAACATACGAACAGAGTGTGAGATAGGCTTAAGAAGAAGTGAGACATACAATTGATAAGCTAAAATAGAATGGTCAGTACTATGAGAATATGGTTAAGCTTTAGGAAAAAGACTACGAATAAGAAGTCTCAAAGCTATAATCAGATCTAATAGAAGAACATGCTGACTTTATGAAGAAGAAGGAAAAACTAGAAAATGACGATAATTAACTGAAGGATGACTACTAAAATCTTGAATACCTTTACAAAGAAAGAAATACAATGAGGAAGGATAAATTAAGTCAAGTCTAGGAAATGGCTGGGGAGTATAAATCCATGTTCAGCAATCTCGAAAGACTGGGCGAGAAAAATATTCAGTCAAATGTATTCATTGAAGAGAAGGAACAAACAGCTTTCGACACTGTTAATGAGAAAAAACAATTGGAAAACATAATTGTGTTCCTATCTGAGAAAATCAAGGAGTTAAAAAATGAAAGAATGCCTTTGGATGAAAGAAAAAAGCAGTTAGAGGCTATGATCCAGGATACCTATAGAGAACTCCAAGATGACTTTTAGTTCAGAAAGTATTTGGAACTCAAGCATGAGAGTCTTGAGAAAAAGATGGAGATGATTAAAAAGGAGATTATATAGAAAGAGGAATTAAAGGAGTCTATCGAGTCTAAGAACTATGTGTTCAAAAGAGAACTTTCATACTTAGCAGATGGCTAGAGTCTGAAAGGCTGGACTCATAAGATGCAAGGAATGCTTAAGTGCATGAGTGATGTCTATTTTGCTAAGAGTGCAGAAGAAGTGAAAAACATATCAACTGCATTCATTCATATAGCCGAAATAATGGAGTCTAATGCTAGACCTTATAGACCTAGCCAAGGAGATGATGATAACTTTGCTAAATAGTCAAAACTGAATGAAATGGAGTTAGCTTACTACAGAAATAAAAACTCGTAGAAGATGGAGGAGATGCAAATTAGATTCTAAGCTTTGTTTAGCCAAATGGAAAAAGCAGTCAAAAAGCTCAGAAATGACAATATCAAGCTAATTGAGGAATTCAATACTTTGATTAATGAGAAAAAGAAGTTAAACAATTTGAGAAGAATGATAAAGGAATCATTACGGGAGTTCTTAGGAGATAAATACGAGGAAGACAAGCATGGCTCCTCTGAAGATGATGGCTACCAGACCAGAGGCAAAAAGAAGAAGAGACTTAGGCAAAAAAGCCATGATATTTCTGATGACTTCAAATAGGATCAACATAAGTAGATGCAGCATTAAATATCAGAAAACACAGCTAAGCAGATACAGTCTCTAAGCAGAAGTAAATCTTCCAACTCATTTGCAATCAAGCATGCTTAGATCCTAAAATCTGGTTAAAATTACACTGCAAGAGATAATGCCTAAGATAGAGAGGGGATTCAATTTCCTGACTTAAGGTAGCGGGCAACTAACACGATTAATCTTGGAATGGATTTTGGGGGTTCAAGAACTGCTAGAGACGCTATAGACGGTTAAACCTCTTAATTTATGAAAAAGAATGTTTTAGCTGGTTTTAATTTAGGCAAAACATAGTAGTTAATGCATAAAAGAAGAGTAATAAACAATGCTCTCAACTCCAACTTGAATCAGACATAATCGACATAGGAATTGGGTCACCATCATACTGGATCAAAGTATCTTGAGAGGATAGTGGATGAATTTGAGAAGAACAAAAGGCAGATTGAAGAATAGACTAAAGCTTTACAAAAGATTTAAAGCCTAGCGCAAGTTTTTTCCTAGAGTAATAATTCTCCTACTATGGATGGATCCTAGATATTGGTTTAAAACTAGCAGGTTAGTATGATTTAAAACTAGAATCAGCATTCAATGATTAGTCAGAGAGGAGGAGCTGTTCCAGCAGTGCCTAGTTTGAATCTGAAAAAGATGAAATTGAAAAATGAGCCAAGTAAATAGAGCATCACCACTAGAATACCTGTAACAACAGAGAGGACCTAATCGATAGTATCATTATTCCATCAAAGTAATAATAACCCCTTGAATACGGCCCAAACAACACATAGACAGCTTCCATAGGTAAAAGAGCATAATACCCTTAACAGTAGAGAAAGCAAAGACACAAAAAATTTATGATGACAAATAACAATTGAATTCTGAGACCTGATGGAAGTTAAATTGAAATTAATTATAATGAGATTACATTGAATGAATTTTTATTGCTTGATTTCATAAATATCTATAAAATTCTACTAGATGGGGTTTTGGGGTTTTGGGGTTTTGGGG